CCTGAACTAATGTGGTATTGTATTCTCGAGTGGCACCAAATGCTGGCTATTCGCCATTCAAGTTTCTGACTTCCTCAGTCGAGGGTTTTTGATTTAAAATGCCAGCCTTATGAGTCTATTCTATTACCTTTATTTAAATATTCTCATAATTAAAAGTTCAACTGTTTCTTAATTATCTTATTTGACTAACTCATCACCAGATGGAATTTCATACAGTTGGATCGTTGTTTTCTTGCATGATTCCTCGCTTGTATGAGTGATTCCGAAAGATTTCTAGAGATTCACAGAAATTCACAAACCTTCCCCAAACTGCCTGATATTCAATATTCTTGGAATGCTGTTGTTACAAAGCCTAAAGGAGAACACTAAATAATAACAAAAAGTTTTAAATGGATCTGTTATTAAAAGCATTCATTTTCCTTGTAGCCATTAGAATAAAGCAAATTTTGCATTGGATAAGATAGACTCCACACACCAATTCTTTGCTTCTTACTAAGGAGCCCTGGTGGCACAGTGGTTAAGCGCTTGGTTGCTAACTGAAAGGTTGGTGGTTCAAACCTACCAGCCACTCCATGGCAGAAAGATGTGGCAGTCCGCTCCTGCAAAGATTACAGCTTTAGAAACCCTATGGGGTAGTTCTACTCTGTCCTATAGAGTCATTCTGAGTCGGAATTGACGCAACAGGTAAGAAAAACAGTACCAATAAAAAATTAAAATATAGCCAATATGAAGTCAATTTAACATAAGGAAATCCTGGCCTCTGAAGTGGCAAAAATTATTATTTTATGCTACATATGTCAAGAAGGAGTCCTGGTAGCACCGTTATTAAGCTCTCAGCTGCTAACTGAGAGGTCGGCAGTTTGAACACAGCTCAAGGGAGAAAGATATGGCAGTCTGCTTCCATAAAGATTACAGGCTTGGAAGTCCTGTGGACTAGTTCTAGTCTATCATCCAGGGTCGCTATGAATCCGTATCGGCTCGACAGCAAGGGTTTTTTTTGGTATATACGTCAAGCTTTGATTTTTAAAATAATAATACACAATTTTCATGTATTTGTTGCAGTGGTATGTACTACATCGCCCCCCATCCCTTTTAGTGATTATAACAGATACCCTCTCAAAAACCTAAGAAACAAATCTCTGGGTTTACAACCTTATTCATACAGACTTCATAAGTCTACTCCCACGCCCGTCACCCACCTCCATGATCTTCAATAAACCTGCTTAATTATCGCCCTGAGAATGGCAAATATTCTTAAACTCGAATGCTCTAGATCTCTATAAAATCCACTGCAGAAAATAGGGTCTGATTCCTCCAGTGTACACTCCATGTTTGGTAAAGTGGAGGGTCAGCGAAAACGAGGGAAATCCTCCTGGAGATGGATTGACACCCCGGCTGCAACAATGTAACAAGCGACTCCAGCATATCAAGGAGGGTGAAGATGGCACAGGCAAGGATTTGCTCTGTCGTGCAGGAGGTTGTTGGGAGTCGGAGCCAACTAACAACAACCGTGTCCACCCACAGGGGAATGGATAAACCAACTCTGGAAAGCCGGGATACAATGAAACGCTTCCTAGCTATCGAAAGGAACCAGCTATTGATCCAGATGACAGCATTCGGTCATGGATCTCAAAACGATTATACTGAGTAAAGCAACGAGCCAAAAGAGCATATACTGTATGACTCCATTTATACACAATTCTAGAAATTGCAAAATCTACCACTTGCTCAAAATAATAATCAGCCATCCACTTCCAATCGTGTTGCTCATTAGAAGAATAAACGCACACAGCTAGGATTATCGTCAAGTTAGCACATTTTACTTACTCACAGCAAGTTGCTTCTTCAGCTTCTACATTTGCGGAGCCTGGTCCTGCAAGACAGACTTTCTGCCAGAATTCTAGGTCACTGACCTTATTATTATCATTGAATATTAATTAAGCGCCCAGGTGGCTCCCTGCTCCAGCCCATCAATTATTTTTATAGTTAAGCGTCACCTACCTGGAGAGTTGTTATTTAATTACTTACCTGTCGGTCTTTCAACTGGTGCTAAAGGTGCATCTGTACTTAAGGGAATTTAATGAAATTGAATATATTTTCCCCCAAGATCACTTTTTTATAACTTCACTAATGACCACAGTTAGGCTTTGGAAGGATGGCCGAGGGAGTAGAACGCTATTAAAGTGAATGTCACCATTTTAAATACTACTCCACGCTTTGCGGTGTAGCTTTCATCTTTCGGTCTAAATACATCTTTACAGACATCCCATCATTAAGCCTCCACGCATAGCTTTTAGGTAAGGGAGTTCATTAGCTGCATTTATGGATGGAAGTATCACAACAGGACACATTCTTTGTCTCCGTTAGCTAGCGCTGCTGTAACAGAAATACCACAAGCCGGCGGCTTTAACAAATAGAAATTGGTTGCCTCACAGTCCAGGAGGCTAGAAGTCCGCATTCAGGGTGCTGGCTCTAGCGGAAGGCTCTCTCTCTGTCGGCTCTGGGGGAAGGTCCTTGTCTCAGCTTCTCCAGCCACCCATCCTTGGAGTTCCTGGGCTTGAAGACAGCCCTGCCTTCCCTGTCTTCAGATGGTGTGGGTCTTCCCCCCGTGACTGCTTTTTTTGTGTCTAATCTGCACTTTCATATCTCAAAGTGACTGGTTTAAGACACATTCTACTCTGATATGGACCCATCAGCATAACAAAAAACCCTATTCCCAAATGGGATGACATCCACGGGTATTAAAAAACAAAACAAAACCCCAAACCCCTTGCTGTTGAGTCGATTCCAACTCACAGCGACCCTATAGGACAGACTAGAACTGCCCCGTAGGGTTTCCAAGGAGCGCCTGGAAAGGACCTTTTGCTTAGCAGCTGTATCACTTAACCACTGCACCACCAGGGCTCCTCCATGTATAGAGGTTAGGATTTACAACACATCTTTTTTTTTGCAAAGACCCTGTTTTCAAATAAGGTCACATCCGCAGGTACTAGGGGTTAAGACTTCAACATATCTTTTGGGGGGGCACAATTCAACCCATAACACCCTGCGTGCAAGCTTGAGTAGGAAATTCTTTAAGAAATCTTTTCTCACAGGATCTTTCCTCATTTAATTTCACCATTTATTAAAGCCTTACTGTGTGTATCATAAGTAAAAGAGGGGCTTGGTTAGGGTGAGCAGAGATGCAAGTATGAAAATTCTCCTGAAAAGGACAAGCCAACAACCTGCAATAACACGCACCAGGCAGAGTAACCTGCAAGCAAGGAGCCCACATTGCGTGAAGGGCGTACTTCTTGTTGTTGTTGTACAAATATATATAACAAAACTTCTGCCAATTCAGCAATTTCTACACGTACAGGTCAGTGACACTGATGACCTTCTTCGTGTTGTACAACCGTGTTCACTATCCTTTCCCCAATTAGTTCACCGCCATTAACAGAAACTCTAATAAAAAAACCCAAACCTGTTGCTGTCGAGTCGATTCCAACGCATAACAACCCTAGAGGACAGAGTAGAACTGCCCCATAGGTTTCCAAGGAGCGGCTGGTGGATTCCAATGCCAACCTTTTGGTTAGCAGCCAAGCTCTTAATCACTGTACCACAAGGGTGCCAACAGAAACTCACTGCCCCCTAAACAGCAACTCCCCTTTTCCCCTCTGTCATGGATTGAATTGTGTCCCCCAGAAATATCTGTCAACTTGGCTGGGTCATGATTCCCAGTATTGTATGATGGTGTACCATTTTGTCATCTGATGTGATTTCCTTATGTGTTGTAAACTCTATCACTATGATGTAATAAGAAGGATAAGTGGCAGTTATACTGATGAGATCTACAAGATTGGATAGTGTCTTAAGCCAATCTCTTTTGAGATACAAAAGAGAGAAGCAAGCAGAGATACATGGGAACTTCACACCACCAAGAAAGCAGTGCTGGGAGAAGAGCGCATCCTTTGGACCTGAGGTTCCTATGCCGAGATGCTCCCAGACCAAGGGAAGACTGATGCATCCCAAGGACCTTCCTCCAGAGCCGACAGAGACAGAAGTCCTTTCCCTGGAGCTGATGCCCTGAATTTGGACTTGTAGCTACTGGACTGTGACAGAATAAACGTCTCTTTGTTAAAGCCATTGGAGCAGCACTAGATGACTAAGACACCCTCCCTGCCACCCCTGGTAACAACCGATGTACAGAGCTTGGTCTCTGTCCGTTTGCCTCTTCCAGATATTTCATATAAGTGGGATCACACCATGCTTGTCCTTTTTGTGTGACTTACTGCACTCACCAGCCCATGTTTGAAGTTTATCCATGTCGTAGCCTGCATCAGGACTTCATTTCTCTTTGTAGTTGAGGAACAAGGCCCTGGAAACCCTGGGGGCACAGTGATTAAGAGCTATGGCTGCCAACCAAAAGGTCAGCAGTTCAAATCTACCAGCCGCTCCATGGAAACCTTACGGGGCAGTTCTACTCTGTCCTATAGGGTCAGTATGAGTCAGAATTGACTCGATGGCAACACGTTAGGTTTTTGGTTTATAAATTTGTTGTTTGTTTGCACGTTTACTTCTTTTAGCTAAAAAAAATAGTAAATAAACCACTTGCCATTGCGTTGACTCTAACCCATAGCGCCCCCATGTGTGTCAGAGTGGAATTGTGTTCATAGTGTTTTCAATGGCTGATTTTTTGGACGTAGATCACCAGATCTTTCTTCTGCTGCATCTCTAGGTGGACTCGAACCCCCAACCTTTTGGTTTAGCAGCCGAGCATGTTTACCAGTTGCACCACCCAGGGAGTGCAAAACCAAACCCGTTGCTGTCAAATCGACTCCGACTTGTAGAGACCCCATGTGTGTCAGAGGAGAACTGTGCTCCATGGGGTTTCCTTGGCTATAACTTTTATGGAAGCAGATCGCCGGGCCTTTCTTCTGTGGCACAGCTGGGCAGGTCTGAACCACCAGTTTTTTTGGTTAGTACTCAAGTGCAAACCATTTGCGAAACCCAGGGGCCTTAAGGTGAGGTATAAAAGCAAAGGCAGGTTTCAGCTCAGACATTTCAAAATCCAAAACTCACTGAAAAGAACTAGGAAAGTTGACAAAGAAGAAGACAGCTGTTTCTGTTCTGAACATGGTTGAAGGATGGGGCCTAATACTGTAAACCCAGACCTAGAATTAGCCATGAGGCCCGCTGATGTCTTGGGAAGAGAAGGTCCCTCCTCCAGGCCTAAAGACCCAGAGGAAGCCCTAACAGAGAAAAAAAGAAAAAGTCCAAATTAGTGATTATCCTAGAAGGAATTTACAGAAAGTTATAGATATCGGAGCCCTGGCGGCACAGTGCTTAGAAGCTTGGCTGCTAACCAAAAGGCCGGCAGTTCGATTCCACTAGCCAGTGCCTGAAAACTCTGTAAGGCAGTTCTGCTCTGTCCTGTGGGGTCACTAGGAGTCGGAATCGACTTGATGGCAACGGGTTTGGTTTGATTTTATATGTATGAGTATCTACATGTAATCTCAGAGCCCAAAATTACTCAGAAGCAAAACACACGGAGATCTGATTTCAGCACAGCGGAAAAATATGGTTTTTGTTAGGAGCTAAATGCAGAGCTTGCATTTTTCCAGATGAGGAAGGGTTTCTTCTTGAGATTTCTCCGCTCCGAGGAACAACCACCAGTTCTCGGGTGTCCCATGTCCAAGCGCAGTGTCTTACTGTCCTGATGCTGCTGTCACAGAAATACCACCAGTGGGTGGCTTTAACCAACAGGAATTCATTTTCTCACAGTTTAGGAGGCTGGAAGTCTGACTTCAGGGCGTTGCTGTAGGGGAAAGTCCTCCTTTGACTATTTCAGCTTTTACTGAATGCCAGCAATCCTTAAAGTTCTTGTTGTTCTTATTAGTTGCCATTGAGTCAGCTCCGAGTCTTGGTGAACTGACGTAAAACTAAACAAAACATGGCCCAGGCCTGTACCCTCTTCACTATGGTTGGTATGTTTGGGCTTATCTTCTAGCACAAACTCACAGGACTTTCTTCCGAGGCGCCTCTGGGTGGACTCGAAAGTCCAACCTTTGGGATAGCAGCCAAGTGTGTTCCCTGTTTGCGCCACACAAGCACCTCTCTTTAGTCAATGTTGTTGTTATTCTGACTCATGGCGACCCCATGTGACAGAATGGAACTGCCTCATAGGATCCCCTAGGCTGTCGTCTTTACGGGAGCAGATCACCAGGTCTTTCCCCGGAGGAGCCGCTGGGTGAGTTTGAACTACCAGCCTTTCGGTTAGCAGTAGAGCATGTTAACTGTTGGCATCACCCAGATACTCAACTACCCACCGCCATCAAGCTGATTCTGACTCATAGCAACCCTTAAAGAAACCAAACCCGTTTCCGACGAGTCAATTCTGACTCATTGCGACCCTACAGGACACAGCAGAACTGCCCCACAGGGTTTCCAAGGAGCAGCTGGTGGATTCTAACTGCCGACCTTTAGGTTAGCAGCCGAGCTCTTAACCACTGTGCCACCAGGGTTTCCAATAGCGGCCTTAGGAACGTGCAAATAAAACCAGCTCACACCTGCTGGGTGGCTCACAATCACCCGCTGGGTGGCTCACAATCACCTGCTGGGTGGCTCACAATCACCCACATTCTAACTTGGGCTGCCCTGTCAGTCTGACCCCACCACACCCCTAGGCTGCAGGAGCAAGGAAGGACGTCAGTTGAAATGACCTATAGACTCAGTGGGAGACTTTCAACGCATCTTTCTGGCACAAAACACACATTGGAAGTATTGAAATTTGGATCATGGTGAGCATTTGACAACCTGTTCATGAACTCCGAGATGCTCTGACGCTGGTACTTTCCAAATCTCTCCAGAGGGTATCTGCACAACGTTTCTCTACAGCAAGCTTCCGCCTATACCTGGCTGGGACCCGTCCCAAGATGCAGCTCGATCTCAGAGATGTTACAATGTAGGGTTGGCAGATATTTCCTCCCATTCCATGGGCTGTCTTTTTGCTATCTTGTTGTGTTCTTTGGTGAACAAAATTTTTTTAATTTTGCTCAAGTCCAATTCATGTTTTGTTTTGTTTTTTTCCTTCATTGCTTGGGCTTTTGACGTCACGTCTGAGAAACCATTGCCAACTCAAAGGCATGAAGATGTGCGCCAACGTTCTCTTCTAGGAGTTTTATACTCTTAACTCTTCCATTTAGGTCTCTTATCCATTTAGAGTTAATTTTGAGGTCTAGCCAAACCGAAACCCAAAACCAAACTTGTTGCCATTAAGATGATTCTAACTCGTGGCGACCCCATGACAGTATGGACATAGACCATGAGCTTATGGAGTAAAACTGTGCCCCATAGGGTTTTCTAGCCTGTAATTTTTACAGAAGCAGATCACCAGGTCTTTCTTCTGTGGCACCTCTGGTGCATCTGAACAGCCAACCTTTCGGACCGTAGCTGAGTGTAAACCTTTGGCATCACCCAGGGTCCTGATCTACCCATACAGTGGAGTATTACTCAACCATAAAGAAAGATGAAGTCCTGATGTGCTATAGCTTGGGAGAACCTTGAAGACATTACGCTGAGTGAAATAAGTCAATACCGAAAGGACAGATATTGTATTTTTCCATTTACATTAAAGTCCAGAAGGGGTAAATCCATAGAGACTGAAAGCAGATTGCCAGAGGGAGGTGCATAATGAAGAGTGACTGTTTAATGGGTACGTTGCTGTTGTTGCGTGCCGTCAAGTCGATTGCGACTCCTAGAGACCCTACAGGACGGAGTAGAACCGCCTCATAGGGCTTCCTACGCTGTCATCCTTTCAGAAGCACATCACCAGGTCTTTTCTCCCGAGGAACCACTGCTGGGTTTGAACCACCAACATTAACTATTGCACCACCAGAGCTCCTTGTAATGGGTGTGGGGGTTTTCTCTGGGGGTGATGGAAAATCCTGGAACTAGATAGAGTGATGGTCGCACAACATTGTGAATGTACTTGTCTTAGGCTGGGTTCTGTAGAGAAGCAACACCAGCAAAGTGTATATACATACATACATAAACCAAAGCCCATTGCTGTCAAGTTGATTCCGACTCATAGCGACCCTATAGGACAGAGTAGAACTGCCCCATAGAGTTTCCAAGGCTGTAAACCTCTGTGGAAGTAGACTGCCACATCCTTCTTCCGAAGAGCCTCTGGTGGTTTTGAACCACTGAACTTTTAGTTAGCAGTCGATCGCTTTGGCCACTGTGCCACCAGGACTTCTTCATATATACCTATATACAGCTATAGCTATCTATATATATAGATATGTATTACCGCCCATAGGGTTTCCAAGCAGTGGCTGGTAGATTCAAACTGCCAACCTTTTGGTTAGCAGCTGAGCTCTTAACCACTACACCACCAGGGTACCTATATATATGAAGTATATATATACACAGAGAGAGATAGAGAGAGAGAGATTTATCTCAAGGAAATGGCTCACACGGTTGTAGAGGCTGGAAAGTCCCAAGTCCATGGGTTAGGCATCAGGCTGGAGGCTTCTCCTGACTCATGTAGCTGCAGGGGCTGACAAACGCAAGGTCAGCAGGCAATACTGTAGGCTGCTGGCTCAAGTCCCAAGAACCAGAGGTCAGATGATGACGAGCCGGATGCAGGATCCAGAGCGAGCAAAAGCCAGCAAGCTTTGCCAGAACATCCATGTATATTGGATCCAGGCCACACCCCTGAGGTAACTCCCCTTACAGCTGATTAGCTGATTGCATCAGATCACATCAGATCCCATCGTGGAGCTGATTACATTATATCACAAAATGGAGGATAACTGCAACATTACATAACTACCAAACCACTGAGAATCATGGCCCAGTCAAGTCGACACACGACCTTAACTGTGATCAACTAGGCTGGGCCATGATTCTCAGTAGTCTGGCAGTTATGGTGTAGTTCGACAATCGTATGATGATGTAATCACTTCCGTGATGAGATTTGATATAATATGATCACCTCCTTGATGGGATCTGCTGTGAGTAGCCAATCAGTTGAAAGGATGTTCCCTTGGGGGTGTGGCCTGCATCAAATACAAGTGGACTTTCTGACAAGGTTTGTGGGCTTTTGCTTGCTCTGGATCCTGCAGCAGGCTCCTGTTCGTCTGACCTCTGATTCTTGGGACTTGAGCTAGCAGCTTACCTGTGGTCTTGCCCGCCAGTCTTGGGATTCAACGGTCTTTGCAACCTATGAGCAAGAACCCTTCTGTCTGACCTGCCCATCTTGGGTTCACCAGCCCCTGTGGCTACGTGAATCAGCAGAAGCCTCTATCTTGACCCACGGACTT